TCATTGAGGGGTAAAGGTCATTAAGGCTTAAGCGGGATTAAGGGTCACTGAGTGGATTAAAGGTCATTGACTCAGGATTAAGGGTCATTGAGGGGATTAAGACTTAATCCGGATTAAGGGTCATAGACCCCGGATTAAGGTCACTGAGGGGATTAAGGGCCATTGACCCCGGATTAAAGGTCATTGACCCCGGATTGGGAGTCACTGAGGAGATTAAAGCTTAATCCGGATTAAGGGTCATTGACCCCGGATTAAGGTCATTGAGGGGATTAAGGCTTAAGCGGGTCAACGACTGTGTAAACGACATAGTCGATGATAGTCGTCAACGAAAAGTAGGGAGTTTTGTCGTCGAAGTTGTCATCAACGACAACTTCGCTTACCTTGTCGCCCAAGTTGTCTTGCATGAATACTGCGACACTTGTGTGAAAATTTCGTCAAGGATCTAACATTGTTGTCTGCAAAGTGTCTTCAAGGAATTGCCATTGTCTTGCACGATTCGTTAATGTTGTCTGCAAGACACTTTCTACTGGGTTGAAGTTGAAAATTTTTAACATATACATATATACCCTCTGCCTATGGTACATGTAGCATACATTTATCTGCGGAGTCGACCAAATTTTACTGTCCATATATTTCCTTTGATAAAAATGTTAGATGCAACATCGAAATGAAAATGGGATATTTTCTGAAATTCTCAATGAGGTATCGAAAAGAATGCACAGATCACATATTCCCAGATTCATACATGATGAAGATTGAGTGAAAATAATTGCTTATGCATTATTTGATTCTAATCGGGTACACCGTTTGTTTCATATGGGATTTTTTGTGGGAGAGGTATTGTATACCGGATGGACCGATGGATTCCATTTTCAAAGTTGTTCTATCTGTAGTAAAAAAATACGATATGCAATTTTTGAGCCAATTTGGATTCTCAATTAGCTTTTTATGTGATTCCAAAAATGTTGACCAATTGGGCGCCATTTTCGAAAGTGATATAAATTTAGGAAGAAATATAAAGGTCCAAAAGTTCCGCTCTTTTTTCGGAAGTGTCTATAATTTGGTAAATAAAAAAAACACCATAACATAGTCCCTATATATGTCCCCATCCACTTAAGGAATTTTGAATGCACCCACGTAAAATGGGATAAAAAAATCGGCCCGGAACTTAACGACGTTTTTACTTATTTTTATCTGATTCTGACACATCAACAGCATTAGAAATTAATGTTAAGATATGGAGGAAACAATTCGTTTTATTACGGAATTACTATTAAACAATTAGAATCTACAAGTTTCCCTGAAGACAGCGGAAGATGCTAAAGTTCAACTTCAACAAAAGGTAAATGAAGAAGAGACCGTTGTCGAAGTTGTGACATGGAAAAAACAAGTAAAAATGCTGTAATTCGAATTGGGAACAGCTGAGGAGTAACAGCACTCGTCAAGTACTGAAGCACACCGTGAAGTCCTTAAAAGTAATAGGTTTGGATCATGGATGGATTTCGCCCGAGTTGTCAGAATTCTTTCAATTTTGACTTAATCGTATGAAAAAGTAAACAAAAAATTGAGAGTTTGGGGTCTTTTCAATCAAAAAAACGATTGTTTCTTACACGACCTGTCTTTTGGGCCATGAGCTCGGACATCAAGCTAGTTCGAAGTAAATTTTCCGAAAAAAAAGAAACTATCGATGCTAGTTCCTTTTTATCCAAATGTTCATTTAGATACATCATCTAGAACATCTGTATTTTATTTGACCATCTGTCAAATTTTGTCTATTACTCATGGTTGGCAACAAGGCCTATAAAAAAGGTCGTCCAGTGAGACCAGCTGGATATCAGCTCTCAAGTTTTCTGTCAAGATCCATTATTGTGAATTGACTTTCATTATGAAAACGTAATTTTTTGACATTAGACTTGAGAAGAAACAACTGACTTTCGTTAGCTGGGTGACCTTATTAATAGATCTTCGTTGGCAACATGGCATGTCGAATTCAAGTATAAACTCTGCGGATTGTCAGCTGCGCTAAATGGAGTACCTATTTATTGTGCATTGATTTGGGTCATGGCCTATAAATACGGTCACCCAGGGAGACCAGCTGATAATCGATACCTCTCAAGTTTGCTCTCAAAATGCATTATTGTGAATTGACTTCCATTATGAAAACGTAAACAAAGTCGAAATTTTTGACATTAGACTTGAGAAAAAACAGCTGTTTTCCGATTTCGATTGCTATCTTGGTGACCAAGATCTATTAATAAGGTCACCAAGATAGCAATCGACACATCAACAGCATTAGAAATTAATGTTAAGATATGGAGGAAACAATTCGTTTTATTACGGAATTACTATTAAACAATTAGAATCTACAAGTTTCCCTGAAGACAGCGGAAGATGCTAAAGTTCAACTTCAACAAAAGGTAAATGAAGAAGAGACCGTTGTCGAAGTTGTGACATGGAAAAAACAAGTAAAAATGCTGTAATTCGAATTGGGAACAGCTGAGGAGTAACAGCACTCGTCAAGTACTGAAGCACACCGTGAAGTCCTTAAAAGTAATAGGTTTGGATCATGGATGGATTTCGCCCGAGTTGTCAGAATTCTTTCAATTTTGACTTAATCGTATGAAAAAGTAAACAAAAAATTGAGAGTTTGGGGTCTTTTCAATCAAAAAAACGATTGTTTCTTACACGACCTGTCTTTTGGGCCATGAGCTCGGACATCAAGCTAGTTCGAAGTAAATTTTCCAAAAAAAAAGAAACTATCGATGCTAGTTCCTTTTTATCCAAATGTTCATTTAGATACATCATCTAGAACATCTGTATTTTATTTGACCATCTGTCAAATTTTGTCTATTACTCATGGTTGGCAACAAGGCCTATAAAAAAGGTCGTCCAGTGAGACCAGCTGGATATCAGCTCTCAAGTTTTCTGTCAAGATCCATTATTGTGAATTGACTTTCATTATGAAAACGTAATTTTTTGACATTAGACTTGAGAAGAAACAACTGACTTTCGTTAGCTGGGTGACCTTATTAATAGATCTTCGTTGGCAACATGGCATGTCGAATTCAAGTATAAACTCTGCGGATTGTCAGCTGCGCTAAATGGAGTACCTATTTATTGTGCATTGATTTGGGTCATGGCCTATAAATACGGTCACCCAGGGAGACCAGCTGATAATCGATACCTCTCAAGTTTGCTCTCAAAATGCATTATTGTGAATTGACTTCCATTATGAAAACGTAAACAAAGTCGAAATTTTTGACATTAGACTTGAGAAAAAACAGCTGTTTTCCGATTTCGATTGCTATCTTGGTGACCAAGATCTATTAATAAGGTCACCAAGATAGCAATCGAAATCGGAAAACAGCTGTTTTTTCTCAAGTCTAATGTCAAAAATTTCGACTTTGTTTACGTTTTCATAATGGAAGTCAATTCACAATAATGCATTTTGACAGCAAACTTGAGAGGTATCGATTATCATCTGGTCTCCCTGGGTGACCTTATTTATAGGCCATGTTGGTGACCTTAATAGATTTTGATTTGGGTAATCAAACTAGTTCAAAGTAAATTTTCCGCAAAAGGAACTATCGGTGCTAGTTCCTTTTTATCCAAACGTTCATCTAGATAATACCATCATGCAAAACAAAAACATCTGTTTTTTATTCGACCATCTGTCAAATTTTGTGTATTTCTCATGGTTGCGCTTAATGGAGTACCTATATATTGTGAATTGGATATTCAAATCAATCAATGGATATTCGTGTATATCCATTGCACATTGAACTATGAAACTAAATGAACGAGATAGCCCATGTCTCAAATATTAAATTTAAATTGACTTCTCTGAATTAAGTCAATTTAAATTTAGAGAGGGTATAGTGCGAAGAAAACGTTACATGGCGTAATAATACAGGCAGCAGAATATGCCAATGTTACTTTGATAGATTGTGGAAGTCATTTTACTAAAACCTAGAAAAACACGTGCACAAACTTTCATCCGAATTGGAGACGGTCGAGGAGAAACGCTGGTGATAACTATTGAAGCAAACCATGCTTATTTGGCGCTCATTGGCTAGGCAAATTATCATAAAAGCTAGCTAGCCGAGTGAGGTGTGTCATACAAATATCAGAATAAAGGATGCTCCAGGCTGATATTGGATTGAGAGAGATGCTGAGATCAAAAAATGCTGTCCTTACAATGTCAATATCAAAGAGAAATTGGACAAATAAGGTCAGTCCTCTACCGTCTAATTGAGCAATCTGAAAAGGACTTTCCTCAGAGCAGGAAATCTAGGCCGCCAGGTATGATTGTGTGGTCGGTAATAAGAAGGCTTTAGAACCAAAGGCAGCCGACTGACCACAGAGGCTTGCGGAATAGGTGGCAAGTTGAGTACACATAAGAAGAATAAAACTCCAAACGAACCTGATCAGCCCAAATCGATGGCACCTGTCAATAGTTAAAGCGATACTTTTCCCCTTCTCTCCCACTCTCTCTTATACCACGTATATCAGTGTCGCATAGAATGGTGAAATTAGAGCTTCCACACCAAATGTCCTCTTTCCCACTGGGATCACGTTAAAGGGCATTTCCAACTCCGAAATAGAACAAAATTGATATAAACGAATGATTCTGAACCACTGTGCCTCGTCAGCATACTCTTGTCATCAACAGGATTATGCTGATTCTAAAATTGCCTCCTTCTATCCTCCTACACATATAACAGCCTTGGTACGTTGAAGCTGTAGGGAGTGCATTCCGGATTGAAGAGGATTTTCAGTAGTTCTTCTTGTTGTAGCAAAAAAAAACAACAAACAAATATTCATTTTGGCATCCGTTCAACAATAAGGAAACGGAAATGATAAAGAATGTCTAATATAATGAAAGTAAAAATGGAAATAAAAAAACAACAGCACCAACAATAATAACCATAAAAAGATGAAGAAAATATATCACGAAAAAGAAGAAGAGTAAGAAGAAGAAATTGCAATTGCACATATACTTACAAACTAACATATGGTCCACGCAATGCTGGCATATCACGACGTCGATTTAATGGCGGCGACAAGGATAACGACAAAAAATCCTGCTGTGCCTTATCCTCATCCACCAGACTGGATGGAGTGCTATAAATCCGTGTGGTTGGCAAATAGCCAATTTGTTGCAAGAAATCGTCGCGATGCGATAATTTGGTGGTCGACTGTGACGATGTCAGCGGTGCATACAGGGGCGGAGGCAAAAATGAGGCGGCAACGTTGGCAGAGGCGACGGAATGTTTAACGGCAGATGACATGAATTGGCTGTGATGGAATGGACCACCACCACCGCCGCCACTACTGCTGCTGCCACCGCTGCTGACGCCGCCGCCACCACTTACACCTCCCAGCTGCTGATGATGTGACGTTGGCGGCGCCACGGGATGATTGTGATTCGGATGGTGATGATGCGAATGATGTACAGCGGCCAAATGGCCGGAGGAGGGAGGATGGTGCAGTGCCGAGTGGTGATGCAAGTGCGAAGGATGTTGGGGATGGTAATGGGCGAAATGGGGTATCTGCGGCGATTGCTGTTGCAAATGATGATGATAGTGATGATGGTGTGAGGCCGTTGCCGGGAAATGGGAGGGTAAATAGGGGGAGGCTGACACAGCCGCACCACCCAGCGACGTTTGTGACTGACTACTGACGGGCCCAACGGCCGCAGACGTCGATACGGCAATTATTTTATCATCAAAGCTTCTACGAAACGTAAAACCTTTAATGGTAGGATAATTCCGATGTGTCAGTGGCGAGGAGCCCAAATCGATTGAGGCAGCGGGTCCCAGCATTTTGATGGTGTTCAAATAGTTCGAGCCGGTACAGCTTTGCGTTTGACTGGAAGTGGGTATTACCGCAGAGGAGGAGGAGGAAGTTACGCCCGTAACGGAGCCATATGGTGACATGGAGCTAATGGAAGAATTCTGCAAGGGGCTAAGAGTTTTGGTTTTACTGCTGCTCAGCATGCTTAGAGCTGGCGAGGTGCGTTCCGTGAAAAGAAGAGGGCTGCCGGAGGAAGAGGCGGCCGTAGAGGATGGTGGCGCGGAGCCATAAATGCAGGAGGATGAAGCCAGGCCATTGGTGAGGTTTGCTGTAATGCCACCAATAATGGGGCTACAGCGCCCACCACTGCCACTACCGCTACCAGGAGTACAGCTATTGCTGCTGCCATTGTTGTTGGTGATCGAGGTGGCAACGCCGGTGCTGCCACTGCCGCTTGATGTGGTTATGACACTGGAGGCCAAAATGGCCAAGGAAACGGCATTTGAAACAACGGCCGGTGGTGGGGAGAGCTGCGTTAGAGAGGGTGTCGAGGAGATTATCGATGAAATACCACTATCACTGCTACAGATGACTGAGGCGCCACCCACTGAGGCCATGTTATTCATTGTGGTGGAATTCCCGTAAACCATGTTGCCGACCACTGTCGAAGCACCACCACCAGCAGTGCCTGTCAAACTTGCCGAGCTATGATGAGTGGGTGACATTAAATGCGGGGAGGTGGATAATTTGGTTAGGGTGGAGGCTGAAGAATCGTAGTGGACGGCCGACAACAATTGGGCGCCACTGTTAACAGCCAAACTAGCGTTAAATGCGTTAATGTTGTTGACATTTAAAGCACTCTCCAGACGAACGGCAGCAGCAGCAGCCGAAGTGGCTGTACCACAACCACCACCACCTGCTGCTAGGCTATTTGAAGAAGGCAATACCGGTGCCAGGTTTACTAGAGCTATATGTAGGTTGGACCAACTGTTGGATTATTATTTTTTATTTGCCAGCAACAACACAGGGTGTGTGCATAGATCCTTATGCATAGGGGGCCTATTTGGTGCTTCGTGGATTTTTGTTGTTGTTTTTGGGGGTTTGTTTCTCCTCTTTGCTTAGCCGATCAATTATCCGTTTTGTTTTGATATTCTTATTCGTAATTGGTTGTTTTCGTTTTATTATTCGTATGCTAAAAAATATCAACAACGTGTAAATATTTGATTTGAGCACAAGAGAGTGAGATAGAGTAAAAGAGAGAATATAAAAGAGTGTGTGAGAGAATTTGACTGCGAGAGCATAAATCCCCTTTTTGAGTATTTTACTCAATAACACCGCTTTATTACCGTTACGATTATGACTCGACTCTTGAGGATATATCGCGAAATGGGTTCTCTCCCTCTCTCTTTTTCTTTCTCTCTCTCTCTATTCGGAAAACACTCCTGTGACAGTTAGCTTTGTGTATTTGCTAGATTTTGTTGTTGTTTTTTGTTTCGTTGTTGTTAAAGTGTAAGGTTATTTTGAATATTTTTTGTGCTGGGTTTTTTGTTCGGTTCGTTTCGGTTCTACCACTTTGTTGTTTACCGTTACTTATATTATGGCAACGAACTTCTGCTTCCTTCCTTTCTTTCTTTGTTTGTATTAACCTCTTGCTCTAAAAAGTGGCATTGTTGGGCCCTTTCTGCTCTGCTCCCAGTGTTCTCTGCATCTTCGAGACTTCCTTTGTTGCGATAATTTTTTTTGATACTACGCAGTCAACCAACCAGTCAGCCAGCCATTTTTCCATTTTCCTCCATTTGAAATATATGCAGTATTTATGTATGTGTGTGTCTCGAAAATTTATAATAGATTTTTTCACGTTTCCTTTTTTATTTCTTTTATGAATGGATTTTAATTTTTCACTAAATTTGATTAGAAAAACGAAATTCTATTTTTCACATTTGGAAATTTCAGGAAACTTCTTTTTTTTGTCAAAAGAAAAAACTTTTCTTTATGCTGATTCTTTTTCTTCTTCTTCTTTTAGGGTATTATGGGAAAGGCTTTTTTTCACTAGACACTAACTCGCCCCTTTTTAAATTTTTATATTTTAATTTTTTATAACTCTCTCATTTACCGATTTTTTTATAAAAATATTTCCATTTATCTACAACTAAAATAAATTTTCTCTAAACTAGTTTCACTATTTCTTGATTATATTTTCTCAAAAATTTTCCATTTTTTTCTATCTTTCTTCTTCTATATAGCCACAGCGACCCGACCGACAAATCAATGCGTGTTGTTCTTTAATCCGTACTTCTCGTTATGATGTGTAACAAAATTTTTCATCAAACTTCGTAGCGAAGTTACCGTCGAACCAACCAAAAAAGCTGGCAGACACACACAGAGATTTAATTTAGTCTCTTCTTGTTGTTGTTTTTGTTATTTTTTCTTTTTATTTCATTTTATCCTTATTTTCTCCATCAAGTTTTTCGCATGCGCTTTTCCATTGTTTTGAGTGGAAAACAAGGAGGTATTCGTATTCTCCGGCTATTGTTGTCTGCCTTGTCGTCCACGAGGGGCAGTTTTCCGTGAAAGTTTAATAAACTCATCAAGTTTTTTTGGCTGCTACTACCTCATGTGCCGCCGCAACTACTGCTGCTGCTTCTTCTTCTTGTCAACCCTTAATAAACAACAACAACAATGGTGTTAACATAAACAAACAATGTAACGACACCGTTAGACTCTCTCTCTCTACTGCCAAAACAAATAAACAATTAATCAGAAAATGTCAAAAAATCCGTTTTTAGGCTTTTAGAACATTGACCAGTTGCAGATAAAGTGGGGAAAACAGGAAATGTAATTGAAGTAAGTAAATATGGGAGTGTGTGTATGTGTGACAACATATGATTGTGACATGTTGCCATATCTCAGGGAATTATTTTGGGGTATTATTATGGTAGTTGAAATAAAGGCAGAGATTACATCGAAAAATAATGGAGCAATAGTCGTGGATTTTTAAATAATACTTCCTAATAAAGCCATAGACGTGGAGTTCTTAAATATTACCGAAAGGAACCACAGCCGGCAGCTTTTTTATACCCTCCATCATAGTATGGAGGGTATATTAAGTTTGTTTTTCCGTTCATTTCCGATCCTATAAAGTATATATATACAGTATTTTTCGGTTAATTGCACATCAAAATTTGCACAAATTTTTGTTCAATTAACCGAGGAACCAATTATCCGAACCCGCTTACTATGAAATGAAATATTTTTGACCAATCATGAGGTTCAATTAAGCGTGGAAACCAATTAACCGTAGGTTCAATTAACCGAAAAATACTGTATATAGTTTATAGGATCGGAAATATATATATATTTGATCAGCGTAAAAATTTATGACGATTTAAGCATGCCCTTCTGTTGTAATCACTCTAGTCTCTAACGAATTAAGATAGATCGCCAAAATTTTGCAAAGAGTTTTTTGTCTGCAGGCAGGTCAAGTTAGAAGGTGTGCTACATCGACCTACGTTTAGGCATATCCCCCATGTAAGGGTACCCCCAATTTTCGGCATTTTGGGGATCCTAGAACAATATCCCCCAATTTTCGGTAATTTTGGGTGTTTGAGTGCGTTTTCTAAACGTATTCGCTGTAATTTGAAACATTCGGTTCTTATTGTGTACTAAAACTCTCCACTAAAGAGTATAAATATAGGTCCACTTTTTCGGAAAGCCATTTTACGTTTTAGCCGTATTCCACCATAGTATTGGGGATATTTTGTACTCGAAATTGTCAGTTTCTACCCTACAAAGTATGGTATTCTAAGACGATGTAGCCATCTGTTGATATCATTCTAACTTCGGAGGATATCGATATTGTGATGCAAAAATGTTAGTTTGAAATTGAGCTTTATCGGTCCTCAATTCGGCATAGCACTTTTTTATGATATTTTGTGACTTGATAGGTTATCCGTATGCGTATAATTTCGTCTAATTTGATAAACACGTGTTAGTTAAGCGAAGGCTAAACGAATCGCCATTTTGTAAAATTTTATTTTAAAGCCCGTGGGCGTATTATACTTTATAATTGTGTCCTTCCTTACAAAGAAAAATTTAGTTAGTAAGAATGTTCATGTACCATTAGCTGATATATAACATACTAGCAAAGTGCCCGCTACTTCGTATGCGGAAAGGGAATAGATAAAAAAGTATTTAATATGGAAATCGTGATTGTACTAAATTTCTGAATTCTACCGCTATTCCTACATCTAATATCGAGTTTATTATCATTTAGTACTTTTCATACACATAAGCACTACTTTCCGAAATCCCTTTCTCCATAACACAGATTAAAAATAGATCAGAATTCCAATTATATGTTTTAGAAAATACACACAGGTTTCACATTTAGTTCAATTTAGCACTTTTCGAACACATAAGTACACATTTTCAAGAATACCTCCATACCACCACTAAATTTAGTACTAGTTAATACCAAAAACCCTTTGGTACTTCTTTCTAACTCTCCCTCTGTGACCCACATTCCAAATTTAAGGTTTCCTCAATCCGTTACCCTAATCCAAATTGTATGCATTTTCTATTCTATTTACTATTCGTTCACCTAAATTTGAGTTTCCAAAGTTAGTTATATAGCTCAAGACTACACTTCAACAGTAATCTTAATTTCAAATCTCAAGATTCAACCAAATCCAAATTGTTCAAAATTTAGTACCATTAAGTACTTTTTATACTCATAAGTAAGAATTTCTAAAGCTACATCAATCCTACACTCTAACAGTAATCTTAATTTCATCAAATTTCAAATTGTACCAAATTTAGTACTTTTCGTACTCATAAGTACGAATTTCCAACCAAGTTGTATCAGTTTTGATAACATTCTGTAATTTTCGTACTCATATTAAAACCTATATTAATATTCCAAACCTGCTTTCAAATAGTAATCTTAAGTCAAAATTTAAGAGTTCCAGCACTGTGTTCATTAAAAACCAAATTGTACCAGATTTGGTACCATTCTGTACTTTTCGTACCCATATTCTAAACCTATAGCAATCCTACACTCCCACAGTACCCTAAAATGCAACTTTTAGGATCCGAATTTTACCGTTCACCAAAGTCCCTCCAATAATAACCTTAAGTAAAAATTTAAGGATTCCAGTTCTATCCGTTCACCAACATCCAAATTGTACCAAATTTAGTACCATTTATTATTTTTTGTAGACGTAAGTACGAGTTTCTAAAACTTCCTCAATTCCACACTCCAACAGTAATTTTAATCATAAATTTCAAGATCCCAGCCTTATCCGGTCACATAGACCCAAATTGTACCATATTTAGGACTTTCGAACTTATGAGTTTGAATTTCCAACACGGTGTGAATACTGTAATCTAACAGTAATTTTATTTCAAATATAAGTTTTCCATCTTTATCCTTTCACTTAATTCAAAATTGTACTAAACTTAGTACCATTTAGTGCACATAATTACGAATTTTCCAAACTACACTCCAACAGTCTTTTTAATGCCCAATTTGAAGACTCCAGCTTTATCTGTTCACCTAAATCCAACTTGCACCAAATTTAGTAGCATTTGGTACTTTTCGTACACATAAGTACGATTTTTTAAAGATACCTCAATTCTGTACTCCAATAGCAGTCCTAATTCCGATTTTCCAGATTCCATCTCTATACACTCAACTAAATGCAAATAGTACCAAATTTAGTACCAT